TTAAATACAAATCTGAACTTCATATGATCTCAGATTAGCTCGGTTACTGCGCCAAACGAAGAGACCGGGCAACACGAGGATTGGTTGGAACGTGCCAATCAGTGAACAGTCACGCTCCATTATGGCGGTGATATTATAATTATAAGTATTATATATTCATTACAACATGGTGTTGCAAATTGCAACAGGAGATTAAACAAACTTTGTATAAGGTTAGAAGTTTTTCCTTCATTTTTTTCTTGTCTTCTAGCCGATAAATCGTTTTTATGTTTACATTTTTCTGCGTTCAAACGTCTTATCAGACCTAAAACCGGATCGCCGGAAGGTGCAGAGCAGAGCACATCAGCAACGGATGCGGAAGCTATCAGGCTCTTCTTATGCATTTCAAAGATTTTTCAGCGTATTTGCTGTACTGTTCACAAAAGTTACGAAACTGCCAGCCGTGTGCACCCCTATTCGGACTATTCCTCCCTGAATTCACTTTTAGTGATAAAAAAATACAACCACGTAGAGCGGCGCAGGTGATCAAGGTTTGGGCGATACTGCACTCTTCTGCATTATGCGTCGAAAAGCCGTTCAACACCAGAAGACAATAATAATTTTAATTTATAATATTTTCCTTTTCTGCTGAGTCATGTAGCCAATCCCGCTTCAGCTGTTGTAACCGATGCGTCATTGGACGCATAAAAATATGGAACAAGTAGCAATCAAAATGCGCTGGAGATTTCGGGTGTGCAGTAGGTTTTGGGACCCATTTGACCATGGACACGACTTTGCAGACTAAGTGATAGACCTTCTTCCATTAGGTAAAGCGTTGTGTACCTTGATAAAGTAGGATAAGTAGAACATAAATCCTGTGAACACGAAGACACACGAAATCGAAATCAAGACACCAAAAGTGCTGGTTTCCGGAAAAACGATTACCTGGAATTAAGTTATTCAGAAGTACAGCTCAAATGGTTCCTCATTAATTTGTAGCATACTCACCATAACATCCTTTAACACAGAAAAAAATTCGCATATGCTTGTCTGTACTCCAAAAACTGAATATCGTTCTCTTTCTGGGATAGTTTCTTGCATAATCTGCGTGATTGAAGGATCTGCTATCCATAATCCTAAACAAGAAACAGTTCAAT